GACACCATTCGAAAACGAAGCCTACCCATTTAGTCGTAAATTTTTTTGTTTCTCCAAATTTAAAAAGCTAAGGTGTTTTGCTGAGTTTTGCTGCAATAAACCTCAAACTTGATCTGATTTTGTCGGATTCGAAGACATGTCCATATGAAAAAGAACATAAAATTTGCATTTATTTTTGTTGATTTTGCTGCTACGTCAAAAGTGCGGTTGTCGATGGTACCCAAATCATTCCATGCTATGAAAGGGTCTCTAAAGTACGATTTGTCTACGGATTCCATTGAATTGTTCGCTAACCGAAACATAAATGTAACGCCTATTGCTCTGCAATATGTTATTCGATTCCGTTGGGTTTTTTCTTTGATCACTTTCGAATTTCTGAGGACGACTTTTAACACACGAACTCCAGTGCCAAGGAATTAAAAATTCAATTTACTATCAAAGAAACCGATTTGGCTTGGTAATGAAGAAAGAATCCCGCAGCTAATTCCAGCATTTCTGAAACAGCTAATTTTTTTTAAAGGAGAAAACTATTGTTCATTATTCCTTCCACACCCAAGATAAAACACAAAGGGAAGTTTTTCACTTCTGTTAGTACAACCTCTGGATCAATTAGTGTGGTCAAACTCAATTGTTTTTGATTTCTGAGCCAGATTAAGACATCTTGTCTATAAGTTGATTGAAAACTAGAAATTTTGAAAGACTAATTTAAAAAAGTATCAAACATCCACTTTCCAGCTGTTCTAGAAAAAATTTAGGCCAAAATCATTGTCTTTTGGAGGTCGTAAAAAATAAGGTCGTCGTTAGTCCGAAAAATAGACTAACTAGAAAAACGATATCGATCCAAAAAACCTCTTTAAGCTACAAAAGTAATTCAACGGAGAAGTAAAAAGTTCAACCATTGTTACTTTCACAACTTTACCCATTGAAATGATAACCGAAATTGTTTCTTCCGCCCACATGTGTTTTAATTTTAGGCGTGTTGCGTAATTTATAAAAGACACTCAATTTTTGCAGACACTCGTTGATTTCATTTAAGTTTGTTATGTTTTTCTGACCTTGTAAATCTTTTTCAAAATGTATTTTCGTTTTTGATTTCGTTACGTGCTCGTGACAATTTTTTTCTTCAAGACAAACTTTAATTTTCTAAGCTCGCGGGGTGATTTTTTTCTTCAGACAAATTTCGACTTTTCAAACAGCCATTGTTGACGGAATTTTTAAATATAATTCATAAGGTATTGCTGTCCTGAGCCTAAATTTGAAAAAGACTTTTCGCCTGTGATCATTTTTTGTAACGTTTTTGGGGGCTTAAAGATTGCTGCTTTGACCAACTTGGGACAATTAACGCACGATCTACTTCGCGCTATTCACGCGCAACCGGAGATTTAAACCAATTCAAAAATCGTTGCATTTTGGTTGCAGAAGTTTATTTGCCATAATTGATTTGTTACTAGTAGCAAAATCTATTAAATTGTGTTTTATATCGCGTGTTATGGGATCATTTTTTCTTTCACAAAACATCTCAAAAACTTCAAAAAGAATTTTTTGTCGTTATATTACATTCAATTCAAGCTTTGCATGTTGCTACTGCTCCATAGACCTCAAAAGGCTCTCGGAACATTCAGGGCTTCGCCTTGACACGTTCAGACATGTTTTGTCTTATTTTTATACAGTTCTGTTGCAGTAACTTTTTCACAGCCTAACAACAACCTAATTGGGTGGTCTTTTTCAATATGTCCGCTGTTTTTTTTGTTCTTTTTTGAGCGATTTAGGCGTTTTTTTAGACGTTGAAATTCTTAACCCTGAGCAGTTTGAGCGGTTTTTGCACGGTTTTTGAGCGGTTTATGTGCAACGTCACACTATAGAAGCTTCTTGTTTTATCAAAAAAACTCATATTGAAGTCCGAGAAAAAGTGATCAGGACGTTTTTCTTTTGAGACATTAATAATTGTTTTAACTGAACTTTCCATATGTATATGGCATAAGTGTTCGCTAAATCAGACATTTCAAACACCAATATACATATATATTTTTATTTCAGGAAGCTTATTTTCAACTCCTTGTTATTCCCCTTCTCCTCGCGATAAAAAATGATATTTTTCAATACAAAACAAAATGTTTTTTTTGTTTGTCTGATAGTTGTGCAATTAAAAGTGCGATAGCAGTTTTCTAGTTTATCTTCAAAATATATACGGATAAAAGTGTGGATTTTTATAGAAGAATTCGTTTCTAGATTCAAAACTCCGCAGCCCATAGCACTAGGGGACATAAGTGCGATCCTTTGGGGGATGCTCGGCTTAATTACATGACACTACAACGCTTAAGCTAGAAGACCAGCTGTCAGTGACGTCTAGTTTGTGTTTTACAGTTTGTGTTTTTCAAGCAATCCGCAGTTTAAAGTCTCACTTTTAAATGCCAATGAAAAAAAAGGTATTTCTGAAGTTACTCATCGGGCCAACCTGAAGGCTTTCATGAGCTGTGATTGGATTATGTCAAGATATTGAAAATTTCCCAAAAAATGGGTTGGAACATAAAGATGAATAGTAACACAGGTATACCGAATTATTTTACCATTTGCATTTTTTACAGTTTTTTGAACAAAAAACGTAACAAACATTCAGTTTTAATAAGATTCCGCCCACAGTTCACCACTTGAGATTTATGATTCGGTCTTATTTTAGAAACTGTTTCAGCTCCTTCGATGAATAATATGACACCACTCGACCCATGACTCGACCCATTTGATTCTGTGATTGGACTATGATTCGAACCGTGTTTGGACACATGATTCAAGCCCGCTCGACCTATGGTTCCAGATCGTTTGACCCATTATTCGACAATATTGGACCAGAGCGTCGATTTTGTTCAACACATGATTCGACCCTGTTTTACCCATGTTTTGACTCTATCCGACTATATCGACCCTGTTTGAGTCTGTATTCGATCATATTCGACTCAATATTCCACTCTGATGGACACACGCAGGTGCGGATCTAGGATTTTCTCGAGGGGGGAGGGTTGCAAATTTTGTCGATGTTTTTTTAGGTCGACCAATTCGATTTTCTGAGCTCTACCAAATCACTATAATTACCAAAACACCCCATTTTTACCAAATTTTCTGCGTCGCAGGCAAACTTTTGAAAAGACTGGCAAAACCAAAAAAAAAACGTTTTAGGCACTTTTTGGAAAATGTTGACAAAAAATTCGCGTTTTTTGAGCGCGCGCTCCCCCCTTAAAACTAGTATATATTGGCGCCTAAGGCGCCATTAAAAAATTTTTAGGGTCAGTCGGCCAAAACTCGATATTCAAAAATATCACAAATATCACTTTAAGTCGGCACGGGGTCGAATCCCTGAGGTGAGTGGGAGAGGGTGGGGGGGGGGGGGCGTTTGCCCTTTCCCCTAAATCCGCCCCTGGACACACGGTTTGACCTTGTTTGTCCAATGATTTCCTTCTGTTATTCCATTCCAGTCAACGCACCCACGCATGATTCGGCTCCGTTTGGTCCAATATTCGACTGTATTCGACAAGTAATTTGACACTGCTTGACCCATGTTCGACCCTTTTTGACTTTATCGATCCTGTTTAACTCATGATTAGACCGTGTTCAATCAGTGATTCCACTCTGTTCGACACATCAATCAATCCTGTTTGACCCACAATTTGACCATGTTTGACAAATGTTTCCTCTATGTTCGACCCAACACATGACCCCGTTTGACTCAAAATTCGACACTGTTCGATTTCTGGTTCGACGCTGTTAGACTCATGGCCCGACCCTGTTTGACCAAATAATTCCACGTTTTTTGATATAAAATTCGATCCTGTTTGACCCATGATTTGACTTTGTTCCACCATTTAATGTTGCGACAAAAGTTAGACATTGTTGGTGTCAAAGGTGATCTTTTAACCTCTATGATTTTTGTTCTAGTTTTGAATTAGAAAAATACCTGCCAAAAGCACATCCATTTTTGACACATATGATCTGTGACATTGTCATGTTTTATGCAACCAATCTCAATTGAACTTCTTAACCGAAATTATCTTTTAGCTGGCTTAGATATCTTTAACCAACTTCGTTTAATCTAGTCTTAGTTGAAAACCTACAAATAATTTTTAGAAGAGAACCCAACATTTTAACAAGTCTTAAACTAGTCTTAGTTTAAGTACACCCTTACCGTCAACCATTGGTATCATTCTTAACCTCAAAAGTTGGACTATTCCAGACAAATCATGGGTGGAATCCCTCATACGCGAAGGACCGAATGCGCAAAAAAATCAGCTAATCAGATTTCAGTAATCTAAAATCTGGAAAGAAAGTGAAAATTTCCGGGGAGTTGATATTGATATTGGCCGATTATGAAAACGGCAATATGCAAAATTTTCAAATTGTCACTGACCGCCGCGGAATTGGAACAAATTTTATATTTCAAGGGCCGTTTCATTATAAAAGAAGCAAAAAAATGCTTCATTTAATTGATTTTAATTGAATAGCATTTGCTTCTTTTAAAAAAAAGTCTTTCGGCTAATTTTGTTTTTGGTCTTTCGCTCACGAGTTTGTTCGCCCATTCGGTCCTTCGCGCATGAGTATAGCCCCCGAATCATGAGCCGAGCACCTCAGCCCGGGCATTAGACATTTTTCCCGGACTCAAAATTTTTAAATATTTTGTACATATTCGGAGAAGAGATCAAAAACAGTACAGATGAATATGAATGCTGCCGAGGATTTTCGATTTTGTTAGTCTGGTTTCAAGTAGTTGGCTGTTTTCACATAAGTTGAATTATAAGCAAATCGATTGAATTATTTATAGAATGAAGAAGTTGCTTTCCTTTCTATTTTTGGGCTGAAAACTTTGCCATCTTCCAACAATTTTAGCACCTGTTTTTGAACGAGCTAAACTAGGAAGTGAGAGAATAAAACAGTTCATAAATATGAATAATTTGGTTTTCTACCGTAATTAAATTTTAACAATCTAATCAGTTTTCTTTCAAATCAGATGGTTTTGTAATTTTGTTTTGGTTTTATTACACAAAACAAGAAATTGCTATTTTTTGTTGTTGGCTTCCATAATATAACTGGAGCGGAAAAAATACTTGAAGGAAAACTAAAATCAAAATGAAACTAATTGCCAGAAAATGCGATAGAAAATTTGTTTTGCCGGAGGGTTTGGTGATGCAGCTGGTGGTCTCTGCTTTGCTACAGCAAACCAGGTCAGTCAATTAAACATAAGCAACGATAGTTTGCTACTATCAAACGCTCATATTTAGTCCCTGTGTTGGCCAAATTGTCTGCACCGCAGGCAAAATTTAAAAAAAAAACAGTCCAAACAGGCATTTTAGGCACTTTTTGGAAAATTTTGACCAAAAAATTGCGTTTTTTCGGCGCGCGCTCAAAGCCCAAGTACCCCCCCCCCCTCAAAATCAGTATATATTGGCGTAGAAATTACTATAGTTCAAAATTGGATTTCTTAAAAAGTACCAAAGGGGGACCATTTGGGTCGGCAGGGGGTCCAATCCCTGAAGGTAAGTCGTCCGCCGTCCCCCTCCCCCCCCCCCACCAAACCCGCCCCTGATATAATGGTTTACAAAGTTATTGCTACCCCATCACCAACTTCCTAGAGATAGAGAGTATTAGCTGATATGTGCGACAGAAAATCCGTGATATGTGATACATCTATATAATCCATTTTAGTTGGCTATATTCTGTTGTTTTAAAGGCCAATTTTGTCTCGAACTCACGTCTAAGACAAGTAACAGGGTTTGGAGTGTAAGCAAACTAGCTTGCTTCAATTGCAGTTAGTTTTATGTTTGAATCTGATGTGTTTAGATTTATCCTGCGAAAAAATTTCTTTTTTATTATGGTAGTTTGTATTCGAAAAATTTTTTCGCATTTTTTATTGTTACCCGATCCGAAGTTTCATGAATAATAATCGTTTATAATGGGTTTTTAATGATTAATTTAGTGTCTATATAATCGCTCATTAAGGGAAGTTTAAACAGTTTAATGGTTTTTTTGTGCAATATAATCGATTTTTTTTGAGAAAATCCATTATAATCCACTATAATCGTTAAAGTTTTTGTTTTTAATACAATCGATTGTTTTTTGTTCTTTAATTTTGAAGCTTTCTGCATCAGTCGAGTTCGAACTAACACGTTCATCCCGATAATCCTTACCCCAATGTCTTCCTCTGTGTCCCCTTTCCCCGTTCCCCCGACGCTATACCCTTTGCTACACCCCCCCCCCCCCCCCCCCCCCACTTCGCACCGCCCCGCCCCGCCCGCGTCCCCTATTAACCCTTTTACCAAAAATTGGTAAAAGAATAACAAACGCATAGACGTAACTATTCAAAAAACGACAGTAAAACTTTAAAAAAGTGAATTCTTAGCGAGGCCAAAAAATATTATTAGCTAATTTTAAACTTACTACGAACAAATGAAAATACCTCACAAAATTAGCTTTAAAATATTATTAAAACATTATCATCCCTGATAATTAAATGATTATGATGGATTAACTTTTTGTTCGATGCATTTTTTGAAAAAATTTTGAAAATCATTGGTTGTAATTGATTAAAATTGGGTTTTTTTGCTTCAAAAAAATAACAAAAAAATACTTGTCATTTAATTATTATCGATTGTTTTCGAATTTTAGAAACACAGGCCATAAAAAGGCAATATAATAAGTTATTATTTATGAAACTTCAGTGCGGGTATGTTTTGGATTGTCTTTGATTTAAGCATCAAAACTAATCACGGAAACCTTTAACTTGCAATAAATGTTTTTAAATTTTCGTTAAACTACTAGGTTAAATACTACATATTTTTTATGTCGAAGAGTTTTTTTTACTAGTCTGAACAAAAATTAACTTGTACGAAGACAAATTAATTTCCTTGACTCGTTTCAAAGTAAATTGATTTAATCTGCCGCTTAAGTTTTGATCTGACAAAACATTGCGAAATTGGCCACTTCAAAGCCCTGATTAAATGATATAAACTGGGCATTTATTATTATTATCGAGGTCAATGCTTTTCAGATTGAACAAATATTTACGTTAAAATAATCAATTTAATTTGAAAAGAGTCATGGAAATTAACTTGTCTTCTTACAAGTTAACTTTTGTTCAGACTAGAAAAAAAAATTCTTCGACATAAAAAATATTCAGGCGGGTAATTTGAAACCTCAAAATACCAGTCACAAAAGTTTGGTAGATGATGCAAGGTTGCTGGAGAGATGAGGGAAAATTGTTGCCAAAGAAAAAGAGAGCGTCGTCCGCTTAGGTGAACTGCAACTATTGGTGATTGATTTCTTAGAAAAATAGAAGTTTTATTTAATTTTAAATTTAATTTTAAAAAGTACTTGCAAAAAAAATGGATTGATATGTAAAATGACAATTTAAAAAACAATAAAATCAAAATTTGGCCAGAAAAATGTTTTAGCAAAAATATAAAGAAGTGTTTTGCATATGATGCTTCGTTTAATTGCATTAGTAGTTTGCGTTCAGCTAATTTTTTTGCTGTTTTCCTATGTTTTGGGTACAATGAATCAACTTTTGGTTCAAAATTTTTCCGGAGTGTTCAAAACGTTGTAAGCTTCCTGTAAAAATTAGAGATGAACCCCTTTATACTTTTTTTGCTATGTTTTTTGTGTTTGTGATCAAGTTGATAAAAGAGCATTTTTATTTTTTTTTATTTTCATTCCTTAATCTCGATTTATCACAATTTCCCAATTTAAAAAAAAGCATTTTTTTCCGCTTATGCCGACTATCCCGAGTGTTGCGGCACCAAATGTTTCTGATTAGCAGGACGCAGGACGTATCTTTGTTGAAAAATAAAAAAGACATTTCAGTTCTTGAATTTGAACCTCGTTTTTTTTTGGAAGCCAACATTTTCATTATTAGAAAGGGGAGGGGTGGGAAATTCGTTACAGAAAACAAAGCCTCTTTTGCTCAACTGAGTTAGTCATTTTTTCACAAGGACCACATTTTTTCATAAGGTATCATAGAAGGAAAATTTTCTTCAATGAAACCAGGATTTTTTTCTACTTGAACGAATTTTAACCAATCAGTTATGGGATTTCCGGACTAATTCTAACAAAAACCAGAAAAAAAACAATCCAGAAATTATTTACGAAAATGAGATGTCATAGAAAACTGATCTGAAGGAGCCAAAATTTGAAAGCATGGAGAGTCTAGAACACTTTTAATGGTATCACAAAAAAAAAGAATTTATTTTAGTAATTTTCGAAGTAAACATCACCACCCTGTCAAAATGAACTCACAAAAAGTTTTCAGAAGAAGATTCTTTTTTTTTATTCCTACAGATTATATCTTTTAAAAGCTCGCATCTGACATCTACCGAATTCAGGGACTGATAAAACTCGGTAAATTGAGAAGTTTGAATAAAGTTTTAGGAATTCAGTAGTAAAACTTCGAAGTAGAGTTGTCTTATCCGAAAAGAAAAAATTACTTTATATATAAATTACACAAAGTGTTTTGGACTAAAAGAAAGAATAGAGTTAAGTTTGTTAAAATAACGTAACAAAAGGAATAGGTCTGGTTCGTATGTCGATATGCAGACAGATGATTTTAAGTTTATTATGGTGAGAATTAACTTAGCACGGCTGGCGGGCGACCTTGGCGTCACTGCAGAAATTGCAACGGAGGATGCAACGTGTAAACGTTGTATACTGTATATGCGTGGCATGACATACCCAGGGCACAAAAAATTCTTACAACGTACCGATTTTTAAAATAATATAAGCAACACCTCCAACTATATGGGAATAGAAAATAAAGCTTAGAAACAAACTCTAACATTTTAAAGTTTAAGATACAGACAGATACAGACAAGTTGGTAGAGAAATTCAGGCTGGAATCTACGACGTTCCTCGGACTAAAAAGGACGCTTCGGGTGACCTGGGAATTGTCCGGAACTGGAGCGGGCAATAGAAAAGAGGCAGCGGATTCTTCCACTTCTCTTACGGAGTGACGAACTGGGCTTTCGTACCTGGCTGGAGCCTTCCTCTTCCGTTCTGACGCCCTGACACTAGAAGAAGAAGACGTTGAGTAGCGCTGCCTGAAGGAGCGGAATTCGACATCGCGACCCCTGAAGGAACTAGGTTGGGAACAGGAGTGGCCGCTGGGGAGTTTGAGACTGCAGTGGTGGCGTACCGGGATCGAAGTGACGGGGTTCTTGTTTCTTCCTGCAGAGTCGGCAGCCGGCAAAGTGGCAACAGAACTTTTCGACGCGTCAAGACCCCCCATGGGCGATTCCGAAGGCAGAGACGGGTACAGAGGAGTCGATGGCGTTTGAGGTACGTCCTAGGCCGTAGATAGTTGTAGAGGAGCTGAACTGACCCTCACTGCCCGGCTTGACATATTCTGAGGAGACCTCCTAGGCGAGTCAATATGTCTGTCCGCATCTGGAGTATCCGAGTCGGACCAGAAAACCCCTGGCGGTTCCATTGTTTGTTTGTGTGATACTGGCACTATCGAAATAGGGGACTTCTGCGTAGGCTTTTAAGTCGGCGCTCTTGGCGCGATTTTCCTTGGAACCGAGCTCTGTCCAGCCCTGCCTCCGTGTGTGGAGGCTGCTATTGTTTTAGTTGTAACAATAGGTCTTGGGCGCGACGGGATTGGTGAGATAAAACGGTCGTAAAATCTCAAGGTACTCTTACTGAGACCAGATATAAGAGCATTGGCAATCTCATTATTGCGGGACCCAAGTTTCCGCATCACACTGCGCCCTGTCTCCACACTGATATTTGGCTTCATTTTACTCCACCGATTAGCAGCTAGAGCGAGATCTTCGATGGCCTCGTATTGCTGCGTATCTGCTATTTTTTGACCAGGGACCATCTTCTTGAAGCTTAGAGCCAAATCTGGGCTGAGTGAACCACGTTTCACCACCTTCACTCGGTCACGGCTGTAGTCGATCTTCCCGTTTCAAGAGGCTCCGAGCAAGTGGCAACAGTAGCAAAGTGGCAACAGAACTTTTCGACGCGTCAAGACCTCCAACGGGCGATTCCGAAGGCAGAGACGGGTACAGTGGAGTCGATGGCGTTTGAGGTACGTCCTAGGCCGTAGATAGTTGTAGAGGAGCTGAACTGACCCTCACTGCCCGGCTTGACATATTCCGAGGAGACCTCCTAGGCGAGTCAAATTGTCTGGCCGCATCTGGAGTATCCGAGTCAGACCAGAAAACCACCGGCG